GTACTCATTATAGCGACTGAATTTTTAATAATTCAATAATTAGTAAACGACAATAACAGTTTATGCAAACATTACATCGTATGAAGTGTTTTCAAACCACATCCCTTAATTCCTTCACTTTGACTTTAGACTGTTTCACGGTAAATGCGGTACTGCTCTTTTGCAGAACAAAATGATATAGTTTGGTGAAATATGACGTAAAAGTAATTGTTAAATAAACGTCATTTGATTAAACTTCGCCAAACGTTTTTATTTTCCCCTGCAAAAGAGTAGTACTGCAGTTACCGTGAAGGGGATAATTATAGATGGACTAGGAATTTTGATCATTTCACAATATCATACTAGGATTTCATTCACGGTTACTATCCGTTTTTCAAAATGTTGGAGAAATGTAATATAGTTATAGAATTTTATGAAACGAAATAAGGTAATTACTATCACAGACTTGAAATGTTCCTTCTAATCTGTGCATAAACGGGAAACGCAATATACTAAGATAATAAAACCCAATTTATAGTTTTAGTAGCAAATCAATGAAATTGTTATGTTACAAGATTTATAACTGTATGCTTATGCTTTTTTCCCCCTAGATAATGATGATTTGAAGAGGAAGTTCACAGAACATGTGTGGAAAACTAAACAAGTAAAGTATTCAAAAGTTGCACTTGTCTGCAGGAGAACGAAAGATGTAACCTTCGCAAAAATTGAAACATATTGTAGAAAAAGCTTAGTTCTCATAAAGAGATTGAGATTTTCTCTTTGATTTCCCACCGTATGTCAATCCATATAGGTTTTTAAAATCATATAAAAACGTTTTACAACCATAAGAATGTAACATTTTTGCAAAATTCGAAAATAAATATTCTCATGGGCAACAACGCTCACCTGAGTCACCTAATCTTTTCTTTTAATCTTTAACCTTTTTATTCCAAAACATATAGAGAAATTACAAATACAATTACAAAATATAGCTTTTTCATGTATTTCGGTGTAAAATAGGGGCATGATTTGAACATAAGGATACACAGGGGCCATGATTCGAATACAATTGAATCTATACGTTACATAGAAATACTAGTGTTGTAGAATAGAATTTCCCCCAAAGCTAGGTTTTCCCCCAGAATCTGTACTCTAGAGTAGGACTCCCCCTCCCCGGGGGATCTCACAATAGAGTCAAATGCCCTCCTCTTTCTTTCTCAGAGTTGGATTTCCCCTCTTTACCAATGCTTAAATCCTATCAACAATTTTTTATAGAGCTGTTTATAACTGTTGAAAGGTAAATCAAATATATAGTTAATTAAATAATATCATCCTTTAAGGGGGGAACAGTATATATAATACAAGAAATAATACCCGAAATGAGCGACAAAAAAGTGTCGCTGTAAACGAGGGCTTTGACAATGCTTGGATCTGTAGCTCTCTGGTTTGTCTCTCCGAATTTTCTCAACCAGAGAGCTACAGTTCTGCAGCTAAACTTCGAACATAATAATTCTGGTTGCAGAGCAATATATAATGAAATGGAAAATTTATAATCCCGTCGTTTCATGCTTACTTACTATAGAACTGTATTGATCCTTCTCTCTCTCTTTCTCTCTCTCTCCCTCTCTCTCCCAGAAAAAAATCAGACAAAATACAGCAAAGTTGTGATTTCTTGAAGATATTTCTCAGTGAATATATTACAGTAAATAATACAGATTTATTCATCTTATGAAAGTGTTTGAGAGGATTTCCTTTTTTCCTATCGTGGATTTTAAAAAAAAGTTGTAGTGAAGTAATGTTTCTTTGAAAATGCATTTAATTACAGAGATCAAAATGTGAAACAGGGGGAAAATGTTTATAGTTTAGAGCATGGTAACGATCGATCAGAGTGTATATTTTCATGTCATTTTATAGTATACATGTATATCAAAATCAAGCTATGAATTTTTTCTCATTCTTAAACGCTTAGCTTGGGGTGTTAATTCAGCTGATAATTGTTTAATTTAGTTGTAAACGTTGTCAGTCCCCAGTTTACCAATCTGATATGTTTAGTAATATTTTTAAAACTAAATAATCTTTTCTTATATACCAATCAAAACTTCAAACCCCCCACGTTTTTTCAATAGCTTCTGTCCTAAATGGCATTACGATAGCAAACTTGACGCGAGGTTTCTGTTAGTAATACTCAGTCATTTTAAAACACCCAAGAATATCGAAATTGCTGAAAAAAATAATACACAATGATGTTCTGCTGTTAAAAACATACTGAATAATTGTGGACTTGCTTATGTATGGCAACAAAACTCTGTTAGCTTTACCTGGTTTAACAAAATAGTGCATAATGTTCTTGTAGATCAATTTAAGCAATTCTAGAATATTGACTTGTATAATTAACCAAAAAATGTCTTATTTATAGATTGTTCAAAAATCATTAACTTATGACAAATACTAGTTGAATTTACCTTCTAAAATTTGTGATTTTAGAACTGGAATTGAAAAACTTCCAACTCAGACAGGAGATGGTATAATATTGCAAGAGAAAACAGAATTTGACACTTGTGTTCACATAAGAAAATTGGAGATGAATTCTGATACTTATTCAAATGCACTGATCTAGACATAAAAAATTTAAGAATAGCATATTTGACCAAATATTGTTATACAAGTCCTAAAGTCTTTAAGTTTGAACAATTATTTAATATAAAAGGCAAAAATTGACTGATTAAACTGTGTAAACTAATTGGGATTATAATTGAGAGAGTTGTCTCTAGCTCTCTTGGTTTACGATTTTTTTCTGCTTTATTGAAAATATTTCATGATTGTAATATCCTCTGTGTTTTTAAAACTTATGAAAATAAACTATTGTCCCTGCCATTGACATATTCATAGAACCATGGCGATTTTATCGTGAAAGGAAAAATCGTGCTCGTGCATTGTAACCATAATTTTTTCTCTATGATTTTCATTTTGGGGTCTTTATACACAAAACATTTCGTATGAAATGCAATTTAATCGATAAATTCACACAAGAAGAAAAAAAACTCAGGTTGCAAGGTAGTTGTATCGTTCTCGAAAAAGTACCGGAAGTTTCAAGGGACCGGAAGAATTGCTGATCTTTGTTGGCAGCCCAGACTCGGATAACTACTGCTCGTCAAGATCGTTACACATCATGATTTTAGATCTGAGAGATGGATTTGCAAGTGTCTGTTCAAATGGTGGTTACACGCGGTAGAAGGCTCTTATATGTATTTAGCAGTCATTCAACCAATATCAATTAATAATGAAACAGATTATTTAAAAAAGAGAATGAAAATTACATACAAGTTGTTCTTAAACAAGTTTAAGTTTTGAATGCTAGTCACATCGCATAAAACAATTTTTCACTGATAATGTACGTGTGTGGTAGAATGGCGGGTATGCAGTTTTGTTTAGTTTATATCAAAATTGCTCAGTTTTCTGCTTTGTTTTTTTTATATACACATCATGCTGCATTTTCTAAAATTTGTAGTTTTTAACATTATTTTATATACATGCATTTATGTCATATTGACACATTCTTGTAAACTTTATCCACATTGAACATCAAATCTATACAAGAGGATCCAAGTGTCAATTTAGAAACAAAAAAGTAGTTTATTACAGAAACTAAACATACTTTAAGCAATAATTCGTATCATTGCCAGTATTATGCAATGTTTTATAATGATGGAAAATGAAACTTAGAGTGTCTCTAATCCCAAGTTAAAGGCAAATGTAAATATTCAAAATATTCTGAAAGACACTTAGGACTACTAAATTTATATTTTTAATGTAATATTTTACTTTCATTAAGAATGAAAAACATGAAAATAAAAATCATTGACATATATAAATAAAATTCAATATTCAAGCGACTAGGAGGGGCACATTCTTCAGAAATATTTTTCTGATTTATACTGCCCCTTAGTACATACCCTATAGGCAGGTCTAATGTATAATTTTTGTAAATGTTTCTAGAAAACAGAAAAAAAAGACACAAAGCTTTCAGTTTATTGCATCATAATCAGTTCGACATTTTTCATGCTTCGCAAATATAGCCACCAAGATATGAACCATTATCGCAAGGGACATTGTGGAACGTGAAGCGATCTTTTGCATAAAAGAACATGCATTCCTCGGGAGAACGGTCGGATCCATTGGGTTCTCCGGCGCCAAAAGCAAAATATTTCATCTTGGTCATTTGTCCGTGCTTGATCCACCTCCAATCTCCTCCAGACTTTCTTCTGTTTATATTTCTTCCCCCAACATAGAAGTTCAACCCTGATATTTTAAGTCCAAAAATGATAGAATGCATATAAAAAATGTACGAAGCGAAACTTAATTAGAGGAAACATTAAGAAGTATTAAAAGGGCACCAATCAGTTTTTTTTTATTAATACCTGTACGCATTTTCTTTAGGAACTTTTTCATTCGCAAAGCCTCTTCGAGAGTTTCAAAATTGGCCAGATACCCGCCAGCGTCTAAACAGTTGGCCTTTAGGATGTAATGCATAAAAAAGTAGTTAAAAAATAATAATTAAAAGGAATTGCCGTTTACATACTAACATTTTACACATTTATTCTCAAGTCTTTTTCTACTCACAAAAGCTTTGTCTCCTGACACACTATCTTTCTTGATCAGATAACAAGAATCCCAGAATTTTTTAAACCGTCTAGGACAGCCGCCTTTATTTAAAAAAGACTAGATAGACCATGGTAGTAAAATTAGATCATTAAAACTTATATAATCTTTTCATGAAATCAAGTGTCTATATCCTTAAGGTTTTGATAATTTATAAAACTTCAAAGATTTACACCAAACAATATAATTTATCATACCCTGGTGATTAACACCGATCTCAGTCGAACTATATTTGAAACTGAGGGGAATCAACAGAGGTCAAACATTCTGTTTTAATTTCGTTTAATTAAAATAGCAAACTTCAATTGTCTTGTGGCTAAAAAATTTTAAAACAAATAAAATATCAAGATGAGAAGAAATACCTCCAACGATTTCAACTGCGTCAATATATACATATGAACCGGAGGCAGTACAATCAACTTCGATTCTCAGCTCATTTACAGGAAAGTTCAATCTCTGAGTAGAATAGTGTTTATTTTAATTTTAAATAAATCATATGAAATCTTTATATATTAACGATGTCATTTTTAAGTGAAAATATGCTTATTTAGAAGACTTAAGGATAGAAAATATCATTATTTTCCAGCTATGTTTCGATTTGTTACGTGTTTGCCTCCTAACCTTTACTCCCTACTCAATGACTTTCAAAAATGTTATTTTGGTAGAAAGATCACTCATCATAAAGCATATGATTACTAAAAAAAACCAATGCCAGTGTTTACCATTAAAAAATCATGTTGCACGTAATTCTTTTAAAAATACTCACTTTTATTTTGGGGGAAAATATCCTAGATCTTTTGATTAAGAGTGCATATGGAGCCTTAAATATTTCAACCCATCCGTTTTTTTCATTTTTCGCCAATATTCTCTTGACAGCTCCAGCGTTATATACTTCATATATGTTAACCTCAGTTAGCCAAATCTTTTCCGGAAATTTCAACTGACAATAAAAAGGATATTCAGAAAAGAAATTGTTATATAACCTAGATTTTTTAGAATATCGATATCATTTTGAATATGTAATGAACATTTGAAGATAAAGAACAGTGATTAATATCATAACTAAGGAAAAGACTTCTTAAAAAAACACGATATTATGCTGATGGTTATTTTTCAACATGCTTGTGTTTTTTTAGGGATTCAATCATAATGTCTAGTGAAAGGAAACATACTCAAAAAAGTTTTACTAAGTTTCTTATATAAGTGTTTACCTCTATGTACTGATTTGCATCAAGGTGTCTATACGCCTGTGTCCATGCCAATGAACTTTGACTGTATTTAGGATAAACATTGGGTTTTCCCAATATCTGTTTTGCTGAGTAGCTAGAAAATTTGCAATAAACACTGAATGAAATCTTGTAATAAAACATTTTTGTGATCAGATTAACGTAGATTACAACATCCATTAGAATATGAAAGTTTGAAACTTGTTTACCTTGTTGAGCTGTACTGTGAGGAAAATGCTGTAACTTCCGAAGCCCATTCTCGTTTGGTGGCTTTTTTCACATCATAAATTAAAAATTTTATAATAAATTCTAATAAACATATTTTTTGCACAAATATTCATTGAATAAAATTTATTTTCACTTTCTCTTACTGGCAATTGTAATGATACATATCTATTTTTCTGAAATTTTCATTAATAAATACCATTTTTAGCCTACCCTCTGAAGAAAAGACGACTAATATGAGAACGCACAGTAGAATCTTCATCGGAGCCACCTACCCCTCAAAGTAGCGATGTCTTTATGTTAGACAAGTGTTCAAATTTTACTTATAAGGTAAATAAAATGTACACGTTTATCATGAGTCATTACTCCTCTCATATTACATGTTAGCATGTTGCAATTTAATTAATTTGTAAGAATTTTATGTTTCTGTAATACGGACCCCTTTTATACAACAGATGTTGACTTTGGATTTTTTCCAACATTGTAATACGGTTAGTACGTTTGATATAGAAAATGTCATAAAATACAAGAAAAACAATAAACATAGTTTATCTTTTTCATTTATTTACTATCATCACCATTTCAATTACGGGTAAAAACTCCGCTGAGTTTCTTTCTTTAAAAATCAATTTTCTTTTGGAATAAAAGCCAACAGAATTGCATATTTCTTTATAAACCTTGTTACTGGCGAAAGGTAATTTTAATAGTGGCATCACGTGTAAAGTGAAATTCTTAAACAGACACAGCTGAAAACTTTGCACATTGCTTTCTCATACCATGTAAATTATATGATTTTAACTATTCATAAATGCATTAAGCACGACAATAAGTACAATGACAGTGAAGCACCTAAATTTTATCTTTTAATTTTTTTTTATACAGCAGAGTTCTGAAAATTAAAGTATTTAAGGAATGAATTTAATAGCTACCCAATTTATACGGTATAAAGTGGGTTGGGGCAGTTTACTTTATAAACCGCGAAGCGGTTTATAAAAAAGCGTAAACTGTTCCAACCTACTTTATACCGTATAAATTGGAAAGCTATTAATTTCATTTCTTATAATTTAATTTTCATTCATTTAGTGTAAGAAAAAAGATTATTGCCCTCCAAAAATGACTTCAAATTGTACAAAATTTTAATGTAACGTCAGGCGGATCGATACGTTTTTGACGCAAGTCTTATGACGTAGGCAACCCAATTTATACGTAATAAAGTAAATTTTTTATCCAATCAAATACCTCGTTTTAACCAGAATTAAATCATTCTCCATTAAAAATGAATTTAAATGTATCTATCTGATTTATCAAATATTGCTTATCCAGGTAAACACAGGTAAATCTAGCTGTACCCGACCCATAGAAAGCCCCTTATTTGAGTGTGATGATTACCTAATGTTGTTTTTGGTCAGTAGCCATTCGGGGAACACACCTGAATGGCTTATCCAATAGCGGGAAAATGATTAACCTCTTGACATAATGATAAGCACATTTATTTAATTCTCTACGAAAGTTTCTGATCCTCCTATGAATTCAGATTTTCTTTTTAAAAAATGAAAGAAGTAAAGAAAATGAAATAATTTTGAGAATGAACTCAGCGGCGGTGTGATGCGTTGACGTGCGATTGCTGACGTCTTTACATATTTTACATTTTATAGGTGGATTTTTGTATTGGCCTATTAACTTAAATACAATTATGTAACTGAGTCAAAAGATTCGAAGGGAGATCCAAGAGTTTTTTCGGGTTGGGCGGGGTGGGGTGGGGGGTGGAGGGGGGATTACATTTAAACTTATAAAGAAAAGAATGTAAATGTTTTTTAAGTAAAAAAAGAAATAAAAATAAGATAATGCCCGAACACAAAGAAAAAATGTATTTCTTGGAAAATGCGGGGAGGGGTTCTCTCCTCGTGGTCCATCCTCTTTCCTACATATTATCTTAAAAAGTTTTTTTTTTTTGGGGGGGGGGGTAGTATTTTTAGTTTCTTTATATCAAGACTACACCTTGTATTTCCTACAAATATACATCGACTATTGCTCCCAAACTTTTTAATTACAAGAAAACTTTACAGTGCCTGGATATCGAATATCTGAAACATAATCCTCCATCGTGTTCATGTTCTTCTTCACCCTATAACTATAGTCCTGCTGGACACGTTATTACTGGTGACGTAAATATAGTTAACAAGCATTCTGAGAGTATTGCATTAGCAATACTAGTCCACTACCGGCAAGTGTAATCTGGTTCCCGTTAAGAATGGAAAATGCCATAATTCCGTCAAAAAACAATGAAGCGAGACGAAATGCAAACTTGATCTATAGCGTATCAAGGTAAAGTCACATACAAAAAATCAGCTCAATATCTGAAAGCATTTAGAAGAAAATTGCGGAAAACCCTTAAAAATTGAAAAGGCCGTAATTCCGTCAAAAGCCAATGAAGTGGAACGAAATGCAAACTGGATCTGTAACTCATCAAGATACACTCACATACCAAACATCAGCTCAATATCTGCAAGCGTTTAGGAAGAAAGTGCGGAAAACCAAGTGGGACAGACAGACAGACAGAGGGACAGACAGACGGACGGAGAGACTAAGAGGAAACCTGTAGTCCCCTCCGGTTTCACCGGTAGGGGACTAATAATGAGGACCTTAGATCACTATCTTCAAAAGGTCCTAAATAAGGGAACCCCGATTCTTCAACTGGCGTCGGAATTTCATAAATATTATGGATTCTGTAGAGGATTACGCCAGGCGATGGGCAAAACATGAAAAAGAAGACATTGACACTTTGTCAGAATGGATTAAATGTATCAGATGTATCTTAAAATCCCGCATTAAAAGATTGAGGGGCAATATGAGAACCATCTATCCATCTGTATTCAAGATGTGAAAAAAGAATTATATTGTAGATAGATTACATGATCAGTACGTACTGGTCCCTGCTGACAAAGCAGGTAACAACATTGTCTTTGTTTGTAAGGCTGATTATATTAAATGTATTTCAGAGGAACTTGGATTTAATTCTACAAGTGGTAATCCAACTTATAATCATAGTTCTCTTTCTAAGGAAGAAATTCTTCAAAATCATATGTCAGTTTTGAATATTTTTAATATTCCAAACAACCAAAATGAATTTGAATTACCATATCTCTATTGGATTCCGAAAATTCATAAAAATCCTTACAAACAAAGATACATAGAGGGTTCCAGTAAATGTTCAACCAAGCCTCTTTCTTTACTCCTCACTAAGATATTAACAGTAGTGAAAGGGAAATTTCAAGAGTACTGTGCAACAATATATTCGAGAAGTGGTGTAAATCAGATGTGAATACTTAAAAATTCCAATGAACTTTTGGAAAATTTGAAATCACAAGATTTTACCAAAATCAACAGCTTAAAAACTTACGACTTTTCAATTTTATACACAATCATTCCCCACGATAAATTAAAATCCAGGCTTTTTGATATTGACAGCTGCTTTTCCAATAAAAATGGAACTCGTAGATTTACTTACCTTGTCATTGTTCATTTGCAAAATTATTTTGTTAAAAAACATTCTGATTGTACACACAAGTACTCTGAAGTTGATATTCAAAAGATGCTTGAGTTTCTGATTGACAATATCTATGTGGGTTTTGGAGACCAGGTCTTCCAACAATCTATTGGAATTCCCATGGGTACCAATTGCGCCCCGTTATTAGCAGACCTTTTTTGTATTCATATGAAGCAGAATTTGTCCAAAATCTTATACGTGATAAGAAGAAAACACTTGCTGTGGCCTTCAACTCGACATTTAGATATATCGACGACGTATTGTCAATTAACAATTGTTATTTCCATTCTTATGTCGATACGATATATCACGGTGAGCTTGAGATAAAAGATACTACAGAGTCTGACACATCTGTTTCGTATTTGGATATTTTACTTGAAAAAGACGTTAATGGTAATCTAACAACCAAGCTTTATGATAAAGGTGATGACATTTACTTTTCAATCGTCAACTTCCCTTACTTATGCAGCAATATACCTGCATACGGGGTTTATATCTCTCAGTTGATTCGATACTCAAGAGCATGTTCTACGTATATACAATTTCTAAAACGAGGTAAATTATTGACAAACAAGTTGATGAAACAAGAATATCAGTAGTCTCGTTTAAAGTCATCATTTCGTAAGTTCTATGGTCGATACAATGACCTTGTCAGCAAATACAATTTATCATTGAGTCAAATGCTGACTGACGTTTTTCATACTATAATTGTTGGGCCATTATTTACACACTGAATTGTCGACGGATTTTCCCGTTATTTCCCGATCATGACAAGGAGCACACGGTGGGTGTGACCGGTCGGCAGGGGATGCTCACTCCTCCATGGCACCTGATCCCACCTCTGATGTTTTGGAGGTCCATGTTTGCTCCTATTTTGTAAGTTTAATGGACTTTTGAGCTTAAATACTGTTCGTTATCTCCATATATTTCATCTTAATAACCTTGGAAAACCTGGGGACGTTGTTCTGACACCCTCCCCCTTTTGGTTCCGCAAATGAAAATTCAATTTTCTTACACAGGAGTGAAGCGAAACCCTATTGCCAGCGATTTTTTTGTGCTTGCAAGAAATTTTGCGTTTAAAAGCAATAATCCTTTCTTTTTAGGATTCGTTTTTCTTTTATGCACAACGATACTGTACTTTCAAAATCAGACATGAATTGACCAAAGTTTATGATTAATAGGATCCGACACTTTAAAGAAGAACCGTTTGGTTCTGTGTCTTTTTGCAAAATGTTCCAGTTTTTGAGAATTGTAGTAAAACAATGGTATCCTTACAACCAGAATGACTTAAACGTATTACATGTAGAACCCAACATGCACCTTTAATGAAGCCTTTGATCAATTGCTTATGTATCACAACTAATTAAGAACGTTTCAGTGGTATTAATAGCACTTGTCAATTTGGTAGTACACATCGATGAATCTGTTTTCATTTGATTTTGATCTCATATGATTCCACCATCAATGTTCTTGCGTTTACTGTATGCAACCATAGGAAGGGTTGTCAATATATATTTAAGTCTAAATACTTCATCATGTAGTACGCAATTCCAACATTTCATCAGTCGTTTCCTGAACCCCTTTATACATAGGTTAAACCTTGTGACCGCAACGTGGGGGATAGTTTTTCATCTTTTGTCTTTTATTTACAAGATCCATTCTAATTGTTTGCAGAAATTGTTTCAAAATAGAAAAAATAAGAAAAGAGAAAATGT